CAGGAATTTTAAAAAATTTATTTCTCCTGAACGTGAACGATGTTTTTGACATGGTACCAACTGCACAGAACCACAGTATATCCTAGGAATGTCCTTACACATGTGTCAGCGTTGATGTGATTTGTTGTGCTGTATTATGTCAGGCTGTGATCCATGAGCTCTATTTCCAATCAACGATCCGCCAATTCCGAACATTACCCCTTTGTGTATGTATAAACAGAGGGTAGATTTATGTTGGATATAAGGAAGAAATTTTTCACTCTGAGGGTGGTGAGGCACTGGCACAGGTTGCCCAGAGAAGTTGTGGTTGCCCCATCCCTGGAAGTGTTCAAGGCCAGGTTGGATGAGGCTTTGAGCAACCTGGTGTAGTGGAGGGTGTCCCTGCCCATGGCAGGGGGTTTGGAACTAGCTGATCTTTGAGGTCCCTTCCAACCCAAACCATTCTATGATTCTATAAATAGCAGTATGCAATATTATCCAAATCCTTAAAATAGTACATTTTGAAAGCAAGAATTTAAAAGTAATTGCATGATGCATTGTAAGGCAGTTTGCAGCATGGACAGCCAGGATCAGCTGCTTAAGAATGAAAGTAAAGGCATGTTCTCTTTGGTAGTGACTTTGGACAGATCTAGAAAGAAGAGTTCATTTAAGTTAATTAAAAGTTAATTTAGTGGACCAATGTCAACATTGCTACCAAAGTACAGAGGAGAAGTATGATTTGCTATGAAGAAACAGTAAGTTGTAGGCTGATTTATTGAATGAAAGTTAGAGCACTTGACTTTAAAACAGCCAAAACATAAATAAGCATGTTGTTCAACATCTTATTTTGGAGTCCTGGCTGGCTTCCGTTCCGTGCTTCCTTCCGGGTTGCTTGCAGGGGGGAAGGCTGTGCTTGAGCAAGGTTGTGTTTCTCTCTGTTTAACTCGCAGAGGTCTCTTCTGAGATCTTTCATTGCTGGTTTTGGATCACCAAAGTCCTCAGCTTGTGACATACTTTTCACTTTCTTTGCACCTTTTCTCATAGTAGAGTAATCTGAGTTTGTGCCCCCCAAAATCATGCGTACAGTTGTATAGATCATATGCTGTTTCATTTTGTTTATAAGTAACATTGCAGAAACTTAAGACTAAAACCTTTTAAGTCAGTATTCTTCTAGGTACAGCACTAAAATACCTGCTTCTGGCTAACTTTTAATTATTTTTTTTTTTTTTTAACTAAATCAGGAAATGGCAAACATTTTGGCACAAAAGCAGCTTCGCTCCATCATCTTAACTGTAAGTATATTTCAAAGTAATATTTTCAGATGTAATTTTCAATGTTATTTTTTGTTAGCAGAGAGAAAAAGAGACTCCAGTTTTGGTGTTCATATGATTTATCGTAATGTATTTTGATTGCACTTGTATTTTGATATGTTTTGAAGCCTGTAATAGCCAAGATAAAAGGTTTGGTTGTTGAATGGTTTCAAAAGTGATTATCAGAAAGGGTTTTTTTCCAGTCAAATAAATTATTATTTCTTCATGAAAATGTATTACTGAATAAAAGAGTAATACCTCAAGCATTTTCTTCCCATGAAGAATGTGAACTTTATGGTGCAGATGAGAGCTGGTCTGAGGAATTTATAGCAAGTTCTCTGTGTTAAGGTTTGGAGTTGATGACAGCTGAGCAAGCCACGCAGGACTTTCCATCTTGGAAAATCAACCTTTGTGTTTTTTGGTTCTACGGATTATTCTGTCTTGAAGCAAAGTTGCACGCAATTTGTCACCATTTAGACAAAAGAAGCCTGAAATATAGCTCAGAGTGAAGTTAAGGAATGCAATATAAAAGACATGCATCTACTATCATGGAAAATCAGAGGGATTTTGCCTTTGACCTTAGAGTAGGTTGCATCTTCAAGGAAAAGCGCTCTTTTGCTGTTATGAGATACTAGGCAGTGTAAAACAAACTAAAGAACGACCAAACAACCCCTTGCTCTTTCTCATTCACTGTCATAATTTCAATGATGTATACAAAAAAAACAGAATTTCTTTCAGAAGGCGTATTATTACGCTGCTTGTGTTCGTAAGAAATTTGGGATAAGCATATGATTAACATCCTTGGGCGTTCATTTACTGTCATAAAATGCTCCAGTGCCTTTTGGCAAACACAGTCTTTTGTTCTCTGGAGCTGTACAATATCAGTTGCTGTATCCATCTCCCACTTGATGACTCTTTCCTTACGTGTGCTCTGCTGTGTTTAGTGACCTGGCTGTTTCCTGGATAAAAACACTTTGTGGATTTTGGCACGCCAGGGATTTTTAAATTGTCCATCAGTTTGGTGTCTGCTTTCTGAATGGGGTAGTTCTGTGTGTATGGGGCATTGTATGCTAATGTATTTCTCATCAGTCTTCTCATGCAGAGTGGAGTTGTCTGGTAGGGGTAGGATTGTGGTGTGGTGTTGACTCCTGCAGCAGTAACCCTGTTCTATCACTGTATTCGTGGGTTGTGTTTGAGTGCCTGAACACTTTTCTGCTCAGGCAGCTACTCTCTTAAATATATTCTTATTATACTCTCTCTTTTATTTTTTTTATAATTATTTTTAAACAGAGCTCTAATGCTCTTGGTAAGGAGTTAATTCTTCAGAGTGACTTCTGAGTACTGATTTATTTATTTTTTTTTTTTGTGCTACTTCTCAACATGTGCACAGGCTCTATCTAGTGGCTAGAAGGAGAAAGCTTTCCTGTGTTGTTATTGTAAAGTCCTATCCCTTAAGTTGCTTTTGTAGTACCTAAATCAGTAGCATTAGTCCTGGTTTGGTTTTATTTTTTCTGGAGTATACATGCATAGCAAACACATACTTGCAGGAATGGAAACATCTGAGTGCACCTAAGGTAATATTCTGATAAGATGGCATTTATTGGAGTCTCTCTCTTTGCAGCACGTTATCAGGGCACAGAGGGCCATCAATAATGAAATGGCACACCAGCTTTATGTTCTGCAAGTACTTACCTTTAACCTTCTGGAAGACAGAATGATGACAAAAATGGATCCACAGGATCAGGTAAGCGACTGATATGATCTGGTCAGAACAGGAAGAGGACTCATCAACGGCTCATTGATGTCCCTAAAGCTCTTTATGGAGGAAAAGACACTGCCAGAAACACACAGTTCATTCACTCTCTTTCTCTCCCCCCCTCTCTCTCTGTATGAAATTGGATTATGTTTTCTGGTTGATAGAAGATCAATTGGCTATTGCATTCCTAGTGCAAAAGTACAAGAAAACATCCAGGACTTTCTCCTTAGCGTGTCGTTCCATGAACTGGAGTTAGTGTCATCCTGAGCTAAACTTCTGAGCAGCAGTCCAGCATTTTTCTTTCTTGTACTTTTCAGAAGCCGCAGAGATGGATGGTCCTTTCTAAAAGCGCTTCTGTAGAGCTAAAATTAATGTTTAAATGAAAACTATCTGACATGCTAGAATTGGAGTTAAATTGGTGTTACAGTAAAACCCATTTTTGTTACTGGGAACCTGTGTAGTAGTTGTTCATTTGTGTGTTTCTCACTGTGTCCAGACACTAGCTTTAATATTTATTGTTCATTGTGCTAAAAGAGACGTTTACTTCCCTAAGAGACTCAAGTTTAGATATAGAGTCAGTGAGCTGTAGAGATGTGCTTTGTTTTCTGTATTTTTGGTGGCCTTTCTTTAAGCCCTGCACAATGGAGAACCTGATTTCATTTCTAAGAAGAGGGAGTTGTGTTAGGATTTGCTGATAATTTGGAGAAGAGGAGGTGGGAGAGTGAGATGGTTGTAAACATAAGTAACATCTCACAGCAGGATTTTACCCTTCCTGTTTCTGAAGTTTTGGGCAGGAACGTTGGATTCTCACTACACGCAGTTACTTGGTGCATGTCTCCATAGAGAGTGACTCACCCAGTGTTGTTCCTATTGATGGTAGGATGGCGATCACTGTCTTGAGACCTTTCTAGTGGTGTGTAACTGCAGCGATTCCTCTCTTTCCCATTCCTGTGCCAGCAAAAACAGATGGTTACCAAAAGGAAGGCTGAGTGCTGAGCCGTTTTGATTTCAGCCAAAGTGCTTAAGTACCAGCTTTGTTTGAAATGTGTGTGATCTCTTGGCTTCTGTGGCTTCACGCCTGTGGATAAAATTCAGTGTGTAGTCAGTAGCCTTGTTGACATGGGCCCAGCTTCTGTAAGCCAACGCTGAAGTGGCTGCATGTGAACCCCACAGATGCAAGGACTTTGGAAAATGTGAACCCCAAAGTCATTCATGCTGACTGTCTCTCTGAGTATGAAGTAGGGAATTTAGACAAAGAAAGGTTGGGCAGTGGAGGGGATACAATGTCTTGAAACAGCTTTTGTGATATTGGTTATTAATAGGTAAGTTACTTTAACCAATTTTTTTTAACCTTGTCTTAACGTAGGCTCAACGGGATATCATATTTGAACTCCGAAGAATTGCGTTTGATGCCGAATCTGAACCTAACAACAGCAGTGGCAGTATTGAGAAACGCAAATCTATGTATACTCGAGACTACAAAAAACTTGGGTTCATTGTGAGTATTTTTGTGTGGTGGTTACACCGAAAGTGAGTGAGTGCATCTGTTGTAGTACATCCTATAACCAGTCACTTCTCTTACTTTGTCTTCTGGTTATTTTCTGCAAAGGAATAGCACTACTTTTTTTTTTTTTTTTTGCCTATCCTGTTAACCCAGAGTGACTGCTTTAGCAGGAGTGAGGCTTAATTGGAAGAAATAACCACCTGAGGTTGAAGCACATAGTTTTGCTTGCCATGCCATAATTAAAATCTAACTTTTAATGATACCTTAAATGAACAGGCATTGTCTAATGGATCTGTGTCAGACCTGTAAAGTCATTGTATTCTGTTAGTAATAACGTGGACTGATGAGCACAATAAATCTGGGGAAGGACTCTATAGTATTTACTTGTAGGGTCTTGTGTTTTGGTTGCTCGAAGTCCTTACATGTGTGAGAAGAGATTCTGCATCCCCTAACCCTGACTTAATCACACCGATTGGAGTTCTGGTCTTGGCTGAAACTGTGTTGGGGAATAGAGCATGATCTGGCTAAACTGTTGCATACGTTTGTGTTAATGGATAATATGTACTTTCCCTCTGGAAACAACACACACACGCACGCACACTGGAATCAGTATCTTGATTTATCGTTCACTCTAGATGAGTATGCAATTTTCTTTCTCCTTAGGTAGAATTGTATGCTTCGTGTCTTGTGTGATTCATTACTTTGCTGTTGGCCTGGCAAATGAACATAGAACAGTCACCACAGTTATAGGCAGAGTGGTTTTAAACACTGTTGGAGCAAGCTGAAGCTCACCGTGCAGTTTGAGGGCTCTACTCAACTCTGTGCCGTAGGGCTCAACGTTGCCCAGTTCCCGTGTGGTTTTGGGAGGAGGCTTTCTGGGTTCTGATAGTTTTGTTCATTACTGATGAGTGAGGAAAAATTACTGCTGTATCAGTGCTGTTGTATCTGTAAGGAGTTGTAAGTAGATAGACGGGAAGGGAGGAGCTCGGTGCTTTGGGATGTAAGTATGATGGTAAAGCTAGTGCTTTGAAGGGCTTCTGAGGTTCAATGTGGTTTTTTTGTTGTCTATGAATCTGTTCTCAGTTCCTGTGCGATAGAAGACCATTTCTATCCCAGCTTCTGAGATTGGCTACTCCTATGGTGAGATGAGCAGAGGACTTTGTACCCTGAAGGCCAAAACTAAAGGAAAAATGCAGGCCCTGGCTTGGATACAAATGGGCTGGATATAGAGCCTCCAGCTTGTGTTGAATGAGAACAGAGATGGGGTCACGGTTGTAGGAGAAAGAAAAGTAACTGATGTTAGAGAGGGGAAACGATGACAAACACAGAGGGAGCAAGGGGGTATGCTGAAGTCGTGATGGGGCAGTACATACAGAGATTGTGACATATGGAAGAATCGAGGAGATCAAATTTTAAACAATTATTCTCTAATACAGGCTGATCCCTTTCAGATATCTGCTGCTCACCCAAGTTTTATGAGATGTTGAAGACTCTCCCACAGCCGTCACTGGCACCTAAGTATCTAGCATGTCTGAAGATCTGATCTTGCTTTCTTAAAGCTGGAGCTGGAGAACTCTAACCATGTAACGGAGCATCCAACAGAAGCTGAACTGGGACTAGTGCAGACATTTGAATTCCAATCCTGTTTTTTTTGCTGCTTAACAAGGACTAAAGATCCCTAGTTGTCGAGGCTGGCACTAGTTCTTCCAATGCTTTTGTTTGTCCCACAGGATATATTTTGATTCTGCAGAGCCGAAATTATTAACAACAGCATGTTTTAGCTGATAGGGTTGTGAGGAAAACACTCGGTGTGAATCAAAACGTGTTCCTGTCTTGTCTGAGTCTGCAGGAACTCTCTTGCTGTGCCTGTGCAGCAGGGATTTATCCATTATCTTCATTCCTTTCCTTTGGGCTGTTCATTGGGAAGCCTACTGAAAACACTTCAACAAGTTGTCAAGGGTAACTGCAGCACTGTTTACTATTTAATTCCAATACCCTTTCACAAGGGAATGGGGAGCAAGGTCTAGGAGGGAATGGGAACTGGGATCAAAGCAATGAAGAAAATGTGGGGAGGGCAGAATAGGAGATAAGAAGAAATATGGAAGAGTGAGCTGTGAAAGGAGCACCATAGCAAGAGTCTCAACGGGAGGCAGCTTATCCCAGTGCTGGTACAATAAGGCAACGTACACATAATAAAAATGTCAATAGTGGGCTGCGAGGACAGTTACTCTACTCCTGTGTGGGAGTTTTACTTTGTGCTAACAGTACAGGTGACACTGCACGTGCAGCTTCTCTCACAGCTGAAAAGGAATTTGGCCTTTCTCATAGAGCTGAGGAAGCAGGAGCTGTTGTGAAATTTGACTGGTGATCTCCAGCCTCACACATGGACTGTGCTTTGACTGGACTATAGTTAGCCTGGCTGCCTTCACCCCATCTGCTTCTTCTCACTCCATCATTAAAGTGTCTCCAGTGCTTTTTTAAACTGCAGGTAGAGGGATGCATTAGCAAACTGATCTATGCCCTGAATAATGGGAGGTTTCTCTTCCCCTTGTTTTGGCTTTGTGGCACAAGAAGAAACTCAGCTGAAATAGGAATGCTGCCTTCAAATGCTGTCTTCGTTCCACCGGTGTTGGTGGTAGGGATGCTAATTTCTCAAACTGATTAAACATTCTTTCCGAGGGGGCAGAGCAAAACCAGGTCTAGCCATCAAGTTGTTCCTGGACTGCTTGTCCTCCTTCTGTATGTGAAATGAGAGAATTCTGTTCGTTTCTCTTGGCCACATCAAAAAAAACCTTGCCCACTGGAAATGTACTGTCAACGAGAGACAAAATCCAGACATGTTTCAGAAGTTTACAGTATCATTTGTAAAACTACATAGTCAGAAACCTACATTCAGTTAAAGAAACCACAAAGACTTTCCAGATGGTTGTGATGACCTATGCGGAGTTTATGGGCAAAGAGATTTTCAGATGAGACCATCTTGAGGAAGATTTATTAAAATTATGATGAATACAACAAAAGATGACCCAGTTAGGAGATCAAAGATGACACACTCCACCCTACTCAAATTAAATAGGCTGAATTCTAACCCTCTTTTAAAGTCTCTTTGGTAGGGAAATCCCAACCGATGCTTATCCCTGTCAATTCTTGCAGTAGGGTGGTGTTTTGTAGACTTTCAAATAACAGTGTAGTTCAGAGTTAGAGATATTAGAAGATAAAGCCACATATATTGGTAATGATAAAATCAGTCCTAAAATTCCTGATCAGTTCAAAGGATTTAGTTTTGTAAAGTTCATTGCAAGTGAAGCTTCTAAAGTTTTCTTGCATTTGAGTAAACTTGATTCCCAGAACTAAGGCAAGCAATAGATACAACTCAAGAAACTGATACACTCTATATTTTCATGATAATTCTTTAAACATCACAAACTGTCACTGAGAAGCTGTAGTGAATGTGTTTGTTTAAAGTTAGAGGCAGATCTGACCAAATTCTGAGACTTAAATAGGTTAAAAAGTTGGAAAACAAGGAGATGAAAAATTATCTCATGCTCACACAGTTTTTCTCAAGCTTGCAGTGTGTAGAGCTTCTGGGTTTTTTTTGTTTGACTTTTCTTCAGTAAAATATAAATGGTTTGTATGAGTGCAAAAAGGCAACATGGGAAATGATTTCGTAATTCTGCCGTGTCACAATGGAATTTATTAGTGTAGCAAAATAAAAGATGGGTTAGCACAGGAGATACAAAGTCGATAAGGAACTGTCTGATAAAAGGTGACAATTAAAAGGGAAGTTGAGGATGGTGAGATGTTCTTCAAAAGGCAGGCATAGGCTTGACTTTCAAAATAGTAGTGGTGGTGGCATGAAAGAATGAACATAGGGTGATGAAATCTGATGAAACAAATTCAGGAGGTGTCGATGAAAGAATCCCTATGTCATTCACAAATTAGATGGCCTTTTGGATTAGGGAAATAGAAATACAATTTTAGTCATCGATACAAAGTGCAATGGAGTTCACTGGCAAGAATTTCTTCTGTAGGCAAATATCTGATTTTTGGGAAAAGATAAGAGAGATTGTGCAATGTAGCCACAAAGAAGTCAACTGTTAACCTGGGATATGTCTGGAAAGATATTTTCAGAGCAGCCATTTCCTGCATTTCTGAGACATCATCTAGAATACTTTATAATTTTAGTTACCTATGCAGTGACTTGTGGACTGATGGAATGTAGATTGAGTGCAGAGGGAAAGGCTTGTGCAGTGATGAGGTAGGTGTCTTAAAAGAGTTGGCTTAAAAAGGTTGACTCGCTCAGCCCACCAGGCTGAAGGCTGTGGAAATACAAGTGTGTGAATGCTGAGAGGGAGGAAGTTGTATGTAAGATACAAGGCAGTGATGGCAATCAGTTTATGGAAAAGATTTTTAGTTGGAATGATGGGAGCAAAATTCATTACTAGTATGAAGATGGAGCTTGATCCATTATGAAAGCATTATGTGCTATGTTTGATAATGGTCGATCCAGGTAGCAAAGTACATGAGGACTATATGGAAAAAAACCACAAATCCAGGGTGCCTTAGAGAAGTCTGAAGGGAGACATGAATAATTAGATGAGTAATGACTTAAACGGCAGCATAGACGATTTGTTAGACATTACAAAAACTTTTTAATTTGAGGAGAAGCAGCACCAGAATAAATAGTTTGGAGGATGTGTCTTGTAGAGATCTCTGGAAAGAAATTTAAAAAGTAGTTGAGACTAACTAAAGCATGCCTTAGGCAGAACGTAGACCTGATGAGCTTCTGAGGTTTTTTCTAGACTTGCTTTTTTCTCCATGTCTCAGATGAGCAGGTACTTTGTTTTATCTTTTGACCTCACTCTTCAAAAATCACTTATTTCACAGCACAGTATCGAAGTAGCACTGTGAAGATAAAAACTATTCCGTTCTCTCATGGGTTCTTCTGTGGTGCTTCTCATTGTTTCTTTGAATAGTTCATTAGCTGACACCTA